GGCCGATTTGAGGCCTAATCCTTAAACCTCCGAAGACCGTGTAAAAATGAGCTGAAATAATGATTGAAAAGACCGGGAGGGGCCATCTCGTTCCCGAGCAAGCCCATATCAGTCCATAAAATGCCCAGAAGCGCAGCCAGAGTGATTGTGGTGAAAGTTCAATGGCCCTCAAAAGGCCTCAAAGGGCACTCGGATGGCGTCACAGGGTCCTTAGATGGTCTCGAAGGGACCCCAGATGGCCTTAAAGGGCCCTCAGCTAGCGTCAAATGGACATCAGAAGGCCTTAAAGGGCGTCAAAGGATCCTGAGCTGGCGTCAGAGGGCCCTGGGCTCGCGTCAAACGGCCCTCCGAAGGCCTCCAAGGGTCCTTAGCTGGTGTCAGAGGGCCCTCAGCTGGCGTCTAATGATCATCAGAAGACCCCAAACGGTCCTCAGCTGGCGTCCAACGGCCTCAGCTGACGTCAAGATGTCCTAAAAAGGCCTAAAAGGCCCTCGGCTGCTCAAAGGGCCCTTAGAAGGCCTCAAAAGGAATTCAAGAGACGTTAAACGGCCCTCAAAAGACTTGAAAGGGCCCTCTGCTGGTGGCAAAGGGCTCGCACATGACGTCAATAACAGCGTTGTCAAAAACGGACCTGAGCCATCTTGCCGGCCCCTGGTTATCTGTGGGACTCCAAAAGTTACCTGAGTGGCCCCCGTTTAATGAGGGGGCCTTGGTTATTTAAGGGGTCCCTGATAATGTGATTCAATGTTACCGCTTGAAAGGGCGTTGCTTCAAAAGTGCACGTGAACTGGTCATTTATTTGTTAAGTGAATTGAACGTATGGCTTTTTGGGTCAGGTGGGGTGAGGCGCTGGTAAGAGAGGAACAAGGAATATTGCTTGGGGGTTAGGGGCATCTGGGAGGAGTATGACTTATGAGTAAAGTGATTATGTGGAAGACTCGTGTGGAAAAGGCGTAGGCCGGCTTTGGTGATCCGGCGATTCTTTGTGTCAATTGTGATTACTGATCATGTTTGTTCATTAATGCGAAAGATAACTTATCGGATCGGACAGTTTTGGTGTCGACGAGATCAAAGGACGATAAATCTAATCAAATTCCTACAGATAGACCATTCGGAAATGAAATGTGTCAGTTTTTTGTTAACATCCCTGTACTAAAGGCCCATAAGGCTCATGTAGGGCCAAAATTAGCGGGAAATCGGGGATTCCAGAGCCTACAATTTTGCCAAAAAGGCAAGAACAGGATGGTGGAAGAGTGGAACTGAGTAGAAACGGGCCATCATTAGAGACAAGTCTCTATTCCACCTGTTTTACCAACAAACCACCAGATAAAGCGAGCATGGGTTGAAAACATGGCAAGGGTCCCGAAAGACTAACGTGAAATTCTGGCTTCATTTGATGGCATAGCGCAGGATTTCCTATAAGGGCCTGGGCTAGCTGGACGCGATTCCGCTGAAAATGGTGATCGATGCTGACTACTATACAGGGATAGGTATCCTGAAGATTGTCTGTCTCCCTGCCATCAACAGCACGGCCACCGTGGGCTGCGTTCTTCAGCGGCGCATGGTGCCACACAGGTCGGACAGCATTTTCAGGAAAGACAATGCTCCTTCTCATTGGTCTGCCTGATCTTAGAGGTGGTGCCAACTGCCAGGAGCATCTTCCCAATAACTGGGCGAATGATACAAGGCTAGGGAACAACCCTGAGCTAAATCCAATCGAATGCTCTGAGGGATTGTACGGCAGGATATGACCAGACAAAACTTCCCAGCGACCCAAAACAGCTCAAAAAGGCGGTCAAGAGGGCGTGAGCAAACAGAAGCCCATAGTACCTACTCCAGACCTTTGCGCCTAGCATACCTCCTGGTGTTTCACGCTGTGCCCAGCTTCATGGAGAACATATTTACCGGTGAAATGAGCCTGTTGCATTATTTTTACTGAAAGGAAGGGACGATTGGTAAGGTATTAAAACTTTTGACGCACCCTATAGTTGCACTTCCATCACATGCGAGTATAGAATAAAGGCTTATTTTGTGATTTTTTACGACTCTGATTACTTTTACTAACAAGAATACAGTGCAGAAGTAAAACAAACATGAATGGATAGCAGGCCCTGCTTGTTGGTCCGTCTTACCCCGCGTTTTTTTTTTCTTGTCGGTGATTTGATATGTCCTCCTTTCAGAGCAGCTACCACCTAGATTTCTTGAATTTGAAATTCAGTCTTTGCACATATCAAAAGAGGAAGGGTTGAGCATTCAAGAGACTATAAACAATATGAGTTACGAGACCAGTGTAGCAAGATATGCGGCCTCAAACCTTCGCTGGTCCCTCTTACCCCGCCTTCCCCTATTATCTATTTTGTGCACCGCATGACTTTTCGACGGGCCGTATGTGGCGACAAAGTCGACCATTCCACCCAGCCTACAGGTGCCGCAGCCTACAGCCTACTCCACCCAGCATACAGGTGCCGCAGCGCCTTCATAGCAGTTACAGAGTCGACCACTCCACCCAGCCTAGAGCCTGCTCCACCCAGCCTACAGGTGCCGCAGCCTACAGCCTACTCCACCCAGCCCACAGGTGCCGCAGCGCCTTCATAGCAGCTACAGAGTCGACCACTCCACCCAGCCTAGAGCCTGCTCCACCCAGCCTACAGGTGCCACAGCCTACAGCCTACTCCACCCAGCCCACAGGTGCCGCAGCCTACAGCTTACTCCACCCAGCCTACAGGTGCCGCAGCGCCTTCATAGCAGTTACAACATTTGTTGGCGCTGAAAGCGAAATCAAAAAGTGACTGTGTGTGTGCTGGCTGCGGCGGCGGTGTGGTCTGCAGTGGCCTAGTGTCAGCTGGCTGAGCTGGCCGGGCCTCACCGCCGCCACGTGACGGCACGACGCACCACACGACCACTTCGTACAGGTGTATTACAAAGCAACCAGAGCAGTCGGCCACAGGCGGTCCGGTCTCCGCACCGGCGCGGCCAGGCATGCAGATGTGCGCCGACCACCTCACCGGTTTGGCGTCAGCGGCGCTGGCGCGCCACACGCCGGGCCTCTGGCACACACAACATACGGACGCACCGCGGAGCAGCGCGCTCCCAACAACCGGAGCTGGAGGGAGGGGCGGGGGCGGGGGGCACGCGGAATCCTGCGACCTAGTGTGCCGCACTCGACTGCAAGCCAGCCAGCATCACCTCCTTAGTGCTCAACGCTTACGGCTCTACACTAGCTACACTACAAAGGAAGTTTACACGGGACGGCCAAAACGGTCTGTCCGTTTGTAGGTGTACAGCGATACTAGCGTTTTGGTTTTGCCTCAAAACATTTCTCCGTTTGGCTACCATAGCTAACATACAAAGCTGAAGACGCAAGAGACAACTACAAAAACATCCGGGACAATTAAAACATTGTTCCGCACCCAGTGTTTTTTTCGTATGCATATGGTATGGCGTCTACCATTGGGGCAGCTAGGAGCGGCAGCCGGCAGGCGCCGCTCAGGCCAACAAACTATACGCGATGCAAACCAGCGCGATTCGTCAGCCGGCGGCAGTAAAACGAAAGACGTCTTCGAGCGACACTGGCGTCACGACAGACAGGCTACTGACTGCGGCCGGCCAGAGCCGACCGGGCCCGCGGGGCCGGCCGGGGCGCGAGCCGCGTGCACCGCCGAGACCGGCTCAGCCGGCGCGCCGCCGCCATCCATCGGTCGGCGCCGCTACGTGCCGCTCCTGCAACACAGGCACGGGCGCGCCAGGCCGGCCATGAGAGGGCAGCAGAGCGGCGCCGCGCAGCCGCGCGCCACCGATGGATGCGCCGCGCGCGCGCCAGGCCGGGCCGGGGAGGGGCGGCAGAGCGCAGACAGGTGGGCCAGTGCTTGGACGGCTCCGTGCTCCGGTGCTGGGCGCGCGCTGGCCGACGCACACATCGGTTCCCCGCGGCGGCGGCGGCACATACACGCACACACACACGCTCACATTAACCCGGCAGTTGCTGAGGTATTTCGCCACCCGCCGTTTGCTGGGGGGGGGGGGGGGGGGAACAGTCCCCAGCCGATAAATCGAGAACCAATAGGCGCGGCGAAACGCACGACGCGGCAAACGAAAGAACACGACGAGACACTTCAGATGAGTATTTAAAAGTTGAATTTGAGGCCACAGCTCGGGTCAAGGTCAGGTCAAAAAGCTGAAATTGGGCTTTCAGCAGCATGGAGTTTAGAACATCATACTGGGCGCCTCTCCTCATAAGCTCGGTCAAAAGTGTGCAAAATCCTTCATAGAAGTGCCACACGAATAAGCATAGGTCAGGGTCAAGGTCAGGTGAATCAGGTGAGCATATATCACCGAAAATCAAAACTTGTGTTCACAGCATATGACACATGTTAAATGGATTGTTTTGGGCGTAGAACACGATGGTAACATTTATTCTATTATACGAGTATGTGTTGTGTCGAAAAAGATCGATTTAGGAAATGTGTGCCTCATGGTCGTGAAGGTGTTACAAGAAATTGCCCAGATTTCGGAAAATGCAGAACGATTATCAAAAATCGAAGATAGCCATTTCATCATTCGTTGTATGGCACTCTAATGGCGTTTAAGGCGTGTGGTCTACGTTTGTTCTGTGATTTTATATGATTTTTAACACATACCGTTTTTGGTCGAAAACTCAGAAAGGATGACGTCACTAAAGCCTCGATTTTCTCAGAAATTTTCAGACAGATTTTTTTTTTTTTTTTACTTACTCGCAACAAACTTCAACCAATTCCCTACAGGTATCCTAAATTTGTCGCGCCGGTTTTTAGCTATAACGCGGCGAAAGTGTGGGGGCGTTTAACGCCTCCCCCCCCCCCCCCGCCCTCAGCAGCTCGCGGGTTGACCAAGATAGCCTAGCCGGCCGGGCCGGCGGAGAGCGAGCGTCGCGCGCGCAGCCCCCCCCCCCCCACACACACACACCACACCTGGGAGTCACGGGACGGCCGGCGGCCGGCGGGGACGGCGGGGCGCGCACTCACCGCGTGCGGACTTTGTTTAAGGCCAGCTGCTGCGCCACCATGGAGCACTTGGTGGCCTCCTCGATCACCAGCGCCAGCGAGGTGATGAGGTCCGACTGAGGGAACCGGTTCGCCTCGGCCTCCTGCAGCAGCGCCTTCAGCTCGTCCAGACCTGGCGGCCGGCCACCGGGCACCAGTCACCGGCGCAGCCCGCGCAACGCAACTGCTCAGTCGCACACGTCAGCGCACATACAGTCACACATGGGTGCCGCTATCCACCCGGCTGATGCAGGTAGCATTGTAGCAGTCAAACACAAAACGTCACCCAAAACCAATACCGCGTAGCTTTAAATATGTCCATTAGTCAAAGCTACCTGGTGTGTTGCCGTGGTCCAGCCTATCTGAGTCAGTGCTGACTCACTGGCTGTCTTACCCACTCTGCATGAGACAGTGCTGACTCACTGGCTGTCTTACCCACTCTGTATGAGGCAGTGCTGACTCACTGGCTGTCTTACCCACTCTGTATGAGGCAGTGCTGACTCACTGGCTGTCTTACCCACTCTGTATGAGGCAGTGCTGACTCACTGACTGTCTTACCCACTCTGTATGAGGCAGTGCTGACTCACTGGCTGTCTTACCCACTCTGTATGAAGCAGTGCTGACTCACGCACGCACGCACGCACACACACACATACACACACACACACATACACGCACGCACGCACGCACACGCACACACCGTCTTACCTAGCCGGGCCTCTCCTGTGGCCTCGAGCCCATCCTTGACACGGAGAATCCACTGGTCGAAGCTCTCGACGCGCACCTTGAGGGCGCGCAACATCTCCGGGAGCTCCTGGAGCGTGTACCGATACCTGGCGGCGCACATACCGGTGCCTCCTGGTCAGCACACGGCACGGGGCGGCACTACACGGCACACGGCACAGGCGGCAATACACACGCACTGCCTTACTCAAATCTACTTTTCGTCCAGGAGAGCCACGGGTGGGGGAGGGTAGGGGGAGGGGAGGAGGCGAGCCGCCAGGTAAAACCGACGGCTGAAGTACATACGCACCACTCGATATACGTAGTTTAGAGCACGACGCCCTATAGCACCAGGCTCCAGTACTTCCTCACTAGTTGAAGCCTCACAAAGCAAACCGTTTCCGCAGCTGAATGAATAACGTCCCCATAGGTATCTAGAAATGGACAAGGGCTAGCGCTGGGCGAAACTCGCCACGATATCTTCCCCCAAACCAAAATGGATGAGTTGAAAAGGTTTGCAACAAACGCAGAGTCATTCGCTAGATGGCAGCGTGGATCACTCAGCGTAGAGTGTAATGGTGCATTCTTTAACTTAGAAGAAACCCACAAAACCACGCATTCGCAACCCGTACGCGAGGTCAAGTGTGGGGCACCCGCTAAGGCTGAAACAGACTCTTCCCGCATTCAGGAAATCGCATGCGAGAGCCTGTTCAAATGCATTATAATTCTGCCCGCATCAATAGCATGCGGGAGGTACGCGCGATTGATGCGAGCGTGCTTTCATATATTTGAATAGGCTCTCGCATGCGATTTCCTGACTGCGGAAAGGGTCTGTTTCAGGCTTTACGCTCGCTCGTTTTTTTCGCCACAACAGGCGTCTTTTTGCTTCATCAATGTTCCTCATCGGCGCTCAGAAAGAAACTGTCAATTGAAACCAGGGCGGTGCGCTCCGGGGTTTTAACATTACGAAAAGTGGAGACACCTTCGCTAGCGCTGTCAGCACCGTGAACATTCTAAACAACAAATGCAGTAATCCCACCAATCAGCGTACGGCCATATTCAACGCTCAGTGGCACATAAGCCAGTGATGATTTTGGAGGCCAGGGCGTTAGAGGTAACCTATAGCAGCACGGGCCGTTGAATTTAGGACTTGATTTATACATTATTTAGGCCAGTCCGATAAAAACTCAAATTGTTTATGAAAACTACAATTCACTTTAGTAGTGATCAGACAAGTCTTTGCTTTTTTCTGAAATAATTCGCTGAAACATGAATTATTAGATGCGTACCTACTACCTACTCATGCCAAATTTGCCCCGTTACCATGACAACCAGAGTTTGTTTGGTTTCCAGAGTCGCGGTTATTAAATTCATTTTTGACCCCAGTATTTCGTCGGGAGCATTCTACCTGGTTTACACAGGGGCCCGGGAACGATTTTCAAGTTGGGGGGGGGGGGGGCAAACGAAAATACCTGACGTGATGCATATGAAACAGTGGCGTAGCTAAGGGTCTAAGGGGACACGTACCCCCCCCCCCCCATCGGGTTCAAAGGGACCCTCGGGGTCCTGCGGCGCCATTTGACCGCTGAGGGTTAACCCTAGAACGCCTGGGGGGGGGGGGTTGTATCAACCTATCTCACGAGACCGTTTCCAAGGTCTCCACGTTGCCGCCCTCGCCGTCCTCTGCCGGTCCGCCGGGCCGGGGGCCGCCGTCGTGGGGCGTCGTGGCGCCGCCTGGCTCGTGAATAGGTAGTAAACACACTGGCGACAGGCAGCGAGCGGTGCGCCGGACGCTAAATTTATTGACGGATCACGGGGGTGACAGATGTCGGCTATGGGAGAGTGCCTGGTGATGTTTAGAATGTGTGTAGCATGCTCGAGTGTGAGCTGCTACCGTACTGCTGGGTTGATGTGTGCTGATGGATGGGTGTTCCGATCAATAAACGTGAAAAAACCCTGAGGTTTTTTCGAAGTGCACGCTAAACGGCTTGTCGTAGCGGGCTGAAATTTTCAATACCCTCTGGGGCAACCTTTGCGCATCTTTTGCCGAAAAAAATTGATCGGGTCATGTCAGGTCACGGAGTTATGACGTCATAAGAGGTACAGCCTCCGGCCGACAGCTACCAAACGTGTGCGCCGAATCCCTAGGTTTTCTGCCGGTGATACCCACATTGTTTGATGGATCATGATGAAACTTCCCATGCATGTTGGGGCAAGCATTGGCTATCGTGTGGTGCAAGAAAATTGACCGGGTCAGGTCATGTCACGGAGCTATGACGTCACAGGAGGAACAGCGTCCGGTACTATTTTTGAAAAGCGCCCGAACCACTATTTTGCTAATTCTTGTCACCTTAATGGGAATATGCAGCAATATTAGCTTCTGTAGGGAGCAAATGGACCTCCCAAATCCAAAAATACAATCAGATTGCAAAAATTTAAATTTTGATTTTTCGAATTTCTGCCGCCGACTGTGACCTTGCCGACTTCCGGCGCTCCCAACGCGCCATTTTTAGAGCTAGGGAAACGAAATACATACCAAACGATAGAGAATTGATCAAGGAACACGATAGTGAAGGTTTCAAGTCGATATCTCCCACCGTTTTGCCGCAATCGCCGCGGAAAGTTGAAAAAGTTTGATTTTTTTCGGAAAATTTGACCTTTGACCGGTCATAAGTAGGTCAAATGTTGACCTAGGACCAAAAAATATACCACCAATCGCGAGATCTCGTTGAGAGCAATCCGTTGGTTTTTTCCGCTAAGCTCTACGACCTTCCGTTTCGAAACGCCAGGGGGGAGTCGTAACAACCCCCCCCCCCCCCTGGTCGTTCGTGTTATGAGAAATGGCCTGGTCGTGCGAGGGTTAACGATGGCCATATTTCGACTCAGAAGGGCCCCATGGGGCTCGTTAGAGCACCTCCGGGGCCCTAGATAGCCACACTAAGATCTCCATCATGGCCCCACGCCGGCTTCTGAGGGCCTCTTGCGGCTTTTAAGGGCCCCTCGGTGGTCTCTAAAGGCCCGTTACTGGCCTCTGAGAGTTCTTACCGGCCTATGAGGGGCCAGTTCTAGAGGCATTTCCCGCCTGTGATGGTCCCACACCGGTGCCTCTGAGGGTTTCACACCCCCAACTCTTAGTGCCTACACCAGTACCTATTAAAGCCCTATATCGGCGCCTCTGAGGACCCAATGGTGACTTTTGAGGGCCCCACACCGGTGACTCTGAGGGCCCTACCGGCGTCTGACAGTACCACGCCGGTCTCTAAGGAACCCACAGGACTTCTTCTGCCGGCCTAAGGGCCCCTTGCCGGTCACTGAGAACCCCTGTAGGCTTGTAGAGGGTTCGCGTCAGCAGCTCGAAAGGCCCCACACCCGTCTGTAACGGCTCCACGCCAGCGTCTATGAGGGCCCACAGCAACGCTAGTAAGGACCCTCAACGGCGCCTCTGAGAGCCCTACGCCGGTGATTCTGAGGGTGCTAACGATAACTGAAGGCACCACACAAGCCCTTAGTGTCGCTGAGCTTCAATCCCATACCGGCCTTCCGAGGGCGCCACGTCAGTGCACCCATTGCCCCACACCCCTCCCTCACACCCGGAGCGGGTAAACTGTGTTATACCTATAGCAACGAGAACGACTTGACCACCGTTGTACGTTATGTATTTCTCAAAGTTAACTCAAAATGGTCAGTATAAAATTTGGCCTGCCAAACTTATGGCCAAGGTCAGGCCCAAACCAAAGCGGAATGACAATAGTGCAGGTGTTGTCAAATCGATACTATATCAGCAGAAGCCATTCAGATGGCAAGGAAAATGCCGTGTGTTGATGTTTAGATGTATAAAGGGAACAAGAAGGAAAGATGTCCGGAAAAAGGAGGAAAAAAATATATCGCTGCCTCAATGTTGCTCTCAAGTTGGGGGGAAGCGCTCCCGCTGCCCCCCTCCCCCCCCCTCTGTTCCCGGGTTTGTGGGTTTACATAGCCTTGATTGAAACTAACGTTTTAATCAATGCTTTTTTAACAGTTGATAAATATATGGCCAGTTAAAACGTGTTTCTGTATTATCATACAGAATGTTATATATGTGTTAGTGTTTGCCAGTGTTCCATCTTGTCCGGGCGTGCATATGCCTCATTCGCTTGCCGGATTTTGCTCGACTTATGAGTCGAGTCGGAAATTTGACTCAACTCTGACTCAATTGAGTCGGGTGTGAGTCGAGTCAGTTACAATAGATTAACTGTTGTGAGTCAGAGTTGAGTCGAGTCGGATAAAAACGTTGAGCTGTTGAGTTGAATCAGAGTTAGGTCGGCAAAATAAGTTTGGACAGTTATAGAGTCGGACATTAAAAATAAACATGTCAACTGACTCAAGTTTCTAGAAACAAAGGTCTAAATAAGTGTCTAGTTACCAGGCATCATACACATGGTTTTGACTTCTGAATATCATGTTTATCTTAATCTTTTTATTTCTTGATGCATCAGCTTCAGCACATTTCTGAGCAGGGAAAGATATTTTTACATCCACAAACATGTTAACATAAAAATTTGATTAATTTAATTAAATAAATAAAATAAATAAATATAATAATAGAATATAAATATAATAAATAAAATAATTAATTTAATTTAATTAAATAATAAAGTTAATGATTTGGGCAAAAAGTCAAACATTGCTTGGTCTAAATCACTTTTTGTACTTAGGATACATTTTCCAGCAGACTCAGCATTTACCAATAAACAAAATAAATACCTTGGTTTGTGAGCGTTGATGGATTTGCCAGATATTGGTTGACAGTAGCAATTTAATGATAGAAAAGATGCAACACCACAAGTCACAACCATACCCAAAACGAAATATTTTACAAACACATTCAGAATCACACATAAAAAACATAGCTCAGGGCCGACGGTCTATAGCATTCTAAGAAGAAACAGCAATCTTCGGCTAAAGTGTTCTTTGCTTCTAGTTTCGAGGATCGCTATTGGCTTTGGTATAAAGCGCTTGTGATTCGAGGTTTGCAGGACTGCTCGCGATATTTGTAGCGAACACGCTTTATAGAATAACCCTACCCGCAAAACTTTTGCCTATTAGCCCTGGCTGCCTGATTTTTTCTCCCCCCCCCCCCCACCGCTGAACAACTTGTTTACCTTTGAGTCAATTTTGAGGCGAAACAAGTAAAATTCAACATTTGAGTCGAGTTGAGTCAACTCATTTTTTCATCGAGCCACTTGAGTCATGAGTCGATTCAAAAGAAAAAAAATCAGGCTTTTATTTGAGTCACAGTTGAGTCGAGGCTTTCTGAAGCTGAATGATGAGTCGAATCAGCAATTTTTTTTTTAGTCGAGCACAACCCTGTTTGCTTGATATGCCTCAAGCATGTGCCCATAAAGAGCCGATTTGTGTGGGACTGATGAGTTCAGTCGGCTGGCAGCAGCCAGCCGCGGCGGCCACTCACTTGAGCACGTGGTTGGCGGCCGGGCACTGGCACAGCTTGTCGTAGTGTCGCAGGCAGACGAGCCGCTGGCTGCATGGGCACGTGATGGCCGACAAAAAACAGGTAGTCTTGCAGTAGTCGCACTGGCGCTCGTCGTCCTGCAGAAGCTCGAACGCCTCCCGCTCGGCCCTCCGCACACCCTGCACGTGTCAGTCCGGCGACACTGTCAGTCCGGCGACACTGTCAGTCCGGCGAGAGAGAGAGAGAGAGAGAGAGAGAGAGAGAGAGAGAGAGAGAGAGAGAGAGAGAGAGAGAGAGAGAGAGAGAGAGAGAGAGAGAGAGAGAGAGAGAAGAGAGAGAAGAGAGAAGAGAGAAGAGAGAAGAGAGAAGGGAGAAGGGAGAAGGGAGAAGGGAGAAGGGAGAAGAGAGAATAGAGAAGAGAGAAGAGAAGAGAAGAGAAGAGAAGAGAGAGAGAGAGAGAGAGAGAGAGAGAGAGAGAGAGAGAGAGAGAGAGAGAGAGAGAGAGAGAGAGAGAGAGAGAGAGAGAGAGAGAGAGAGAGAGAGAGAGAGAGAGAGAGAGAGAGGAAATGGAGGGAGGCAGGGGGAGATGAGAAGGGCGGGGATAGGGAGGGAGGCAGGGGAGATGAGAAGGGCGGGGATAGGGAGGGAGGCAGGGGAGATGAGAAGGGCGGGGATAGGAAGAGGAGGGGAGGGCGGGGTGGGTGATGGAGAGGGGTGGGGACAGAGGGCACCCAGTGGCCCGGCCCGTCCGCCGCACCTTTTCCAGCATCTGTGTGCGGCTGGTGCGCTCGTCGTCGATCATGCTGAGCATGTTCTGGTATGTGGCCGAGGCGACCAGCAGACTGAGCCGCTGCGGTTCCAGCGCCATGCTGCACACCAGCTCGTCGTGCGAGAACACGCAGAAGCGGCGCAGCTGCGAGTAGTGAGTGACGCACTGGCGGCCGATGGCCAGCTGCCGGCCGGCCAGACACAGCCCCGTCAGACGGCGGTCAGACACAGCCTCCACCCCCGTCAGCCGCCGGCACGTCAAATAGCAGTGACAAGCAAGCATCAATGGCAACGACACAAAGTCATAAAACCAATCCAAACCCATACCACACAGATACGAAGGATTCACAACCTTGATAGGCTAGGTACACACGGGGGCAGATTGATGTTCTACAACTCTTTATCCACCGGGTTCCTATGGCTCAGCATTGGCAGCAGCCGCCTGGTACCGGTAGTCTGTGCCGCTTCACTTACTTGTCAAGCGGCACAGCCTACCCACACCGTATGCCACTGGTCTGGGTCGGTGGCTGGAAGGCGATGTGGGCCGCCTGTGACGTCAGCGCAGCGGTGAAGGCCGAGCCCGGAGGCATGGCTCGGGTCGGCGCGGCGCGGCGGCTGGCGAGGGCTGGAGAGTGAGGTGGGGTGGGAGCACGAACCATCGCGCGGCTGAGCGAGTGTAGTTAACTTTCGTGTCTCAAGGCGCCAATTATTCTAACGAAACAATTGTGCTAAAGCAGTTGTTAAAATGTCCTATCCCCAAGACAGCGCCTATCATCATACTTGCCATGCACATTACGACACACTTAAACGTGGCATTGGGACAGCCGATAGAATTTATATCACACGTGCATCGAGTTGCGGAGCTACATTGTTTTTAACCGATAAGTATTAAGGCATGTTTAAGGCCTTGATTGAGCTCATTGGTATCTATTATTTCGCACAGCAATCGTCCAGAGACGTGTGAACTGGGGTTTTTGGATAGCGCGGCGTCCCAACTTTAAGCAACTCTTACTGTTCCTCTAATGTGTGGTCGCAGCCACCAATAGCAAACCGTTCCATCTAGGAACAAATAAGCCGCGCACCCGGGACGGTTCGAACCGGGTTTCTCCAACCGGTCACCCTACGACGCTAGCGTGTATCCACTGAGCTGCCGAAACCAGCGACCACCCGCCGCGGTCAAACGCGATCAAATGTCACAATACTGTCATTGGCGGTCAGCGGGTGAATGTCATTTTGTTTTGTGCAGACGAGGACCATTCTCGGTAGCTCAGTGGATGAACGCTCGTGTCGTGAATTGGCCGGTGGGAGAAGCCCGGTTCGAGCCCCATTGAGTGGCCGAGTTGTGCAAGTTGAAACGGTTTGCTATTGGGGGCTGCGACTACATATTAGAGCAACAGTAATAATCGCTTTAAATTGGGGCGTTGGCTGCGGCACTACTCATAACCCCCAGTTCCCACGTTTCTGGACGATTGCCGTGCGAAACAATAGACACCAATCTGCTCAATCAAGGCCTTAATACTAATATGTTATACAAAATATAGCACCGCACCTCGATGCACGAGTGACATAAGTTCTATCGGCTGTCCCATTGCCACGCTTAAGTGTGTCGTAATGTGCATTGCAAGTATGATGATAGGCGCTGTCTTGGGGATAGGACATTTTAACAACTGCTTTAGCACAATTGTTAGGTAGAATAATTGGCGCCTTGAGACGCGAAAGTTAACTACACTCGCTCAGCCGCGCGATGTTCGTGCTCCCACCCCACCTCACTCCCCAGCCCTCGCCAGCCGCCGCGCCGCGCCGACCCGAGCCATGCCTCCGGGCTCGGCCCTCACCGCTGCGCGGACGTCACAGGCGGCCCACATCACCTTCCAGCCACCGACCCAGACCGGTGTCATACGGGTGGGTAGGCTGTGCCGCTTGACAAGTAAGTGAAGCGGCACAGTCTACCGGTACCAGGCGGCTGCTGCCAATGCTGAGCCATAGGAACCCGGTGGATAAAGAGTTGTAGAACATCAATCTGCCCCCGAGTGTACCGATAAGTAAAGATAATTTTGATGTGAGCTTGACTAAAAACAGCCTTGAAGTGATCCGACAGATAAGAGCACGCCTCTGCTGGTCTGAGTGTGGGCGCGGGTGGCGGTCGTACCCAGTCCGGCGGCGCGAAGTTGACGGCCTCGGCGAAGTTGAACCCCTGGTTGAAGCCGGTGTGGTAGGCGCGCGGCAGGGTGACGACAAACTCGCCGGCGTGCTGGTCCGTGCGGAAGATCGGCACACCTGCGCACACCGCCGCCGGTCAGCATCAGCGGCCGACAGCCCTCCCCTCGCTACATCAAAGACATCCACTGGCTGCACAATGCACGTCACACTGGCCACACCAACGCTGGCTGGCCTGCGCCTAACGCTAAGTTTCACAGCGCGTGGGCCGGCCGGCCGTCGCCACTCACCAGCCGCCATCAGCACGTTGGGGTTCATGGTGGTCACCAGCTGGTGCAGCAGGTCCGGCTGCGCCTTAAACAGCTCCGGCGCCGCCGACTTCATGGCCTCCTCGAACTGCTGCGCGCGCAGGCCGGACACGCCGTACCACGTCTTGGGCTCGCCCCTGCGCCACAGGCCAGACGGTCACTGGTGGCCGGTACACACACAGCCGGTACACACAGCCGGTACACACAGCCGGTACACAGGCACACACGTGGTTTGACGCATCGGCCGGAGTTCACAAAGCCCTCTATCCGGCGACACGGCACGGTGACAAACAGTGTACAGTTAGGCTGACCCGCGCAACTCTCAAGTCATACGGCACAGTCTACCAGTACCAGGCAGCTGCAGCCAGTGCCGAGGCCCGGGCTAACGGCGAATAAAGAGTCCCTTTCGATTAACCTGAGGCTCGTAAGCCGAATATCAAGATAGCCTGTAACCGACCACCCCATTGAGAATGGCACGTACCAGTGCAGGTAGTTGATGGAGTAGCTCCAGTGGTCCTCGTTGTGCCAGCAGAAGGTGGAGAAGCACATGCCGACGTACATCCAGGGCACCTTCATGCCGGAGATGTTGGCCTTGATGTGCGCCAGAATCGAGTCGTCCAGCACGGCGATGTTGTTCAGGTTCCAGCCGGAGCGGACATACTCCTGTGCGCGCCATCAGGTCCAGTCAGTGACACCGCAGTCGACATACCATCAGGTCCAGTCAGTGACACCGCAGCCGACATACCATCAGGTCCAGTCAGTGACACCGCAGCCGACATACCATCAGGTCCAGTCAGTGACACCGCAGCCGACATACCATCAGGTCCAGTCAGTGACACCGCAGCCGACATACCATCAGGTCCAGTCAGTGACACCGCAGCCGACATACCATCAGGTCCAGTCAGTGACACCGCAGCCGACATACCATCAGGTCCAGTCAGTGACACCGCAGCCGACATACCATCAGGTCCAGTCAGTGACACCGTAGCCGACATACCATCAGGTCCAGTCAGTGACACCGCAGCCGACATACCATCAGGTCCAGTCAGTGACACCGTAGCCGACATACCATCAGGTCCAGTCAGTGACACCGCAGCCGACATACCATCAGGTCCAGTCAGTGACACCGCAGCCGACATACCATCAGGTCCAGTCAGTGACACCGCAGCCGACATACCATCAGGTCCAGTCAGTGACACCGCAGCCGACATACCATCAGGTCCAGTCAGTGACACCGCAGCCGACATACCATCAGGTCCAGTCAGTGACACCGTAGCCGACATACCATCAGGTCCAGTCAGTGACACCGCAGCCGACATACCATCAGGTCCAGTCAGTGACACCGCAGCCGACATACCATCAGGTCCAGTCAGTGACACCGCAGCCGACATACCATCAGGTCCAGTCAGTGACACCGCAGCCGACATACCATCAGGTCCAGTCAGTGACACCGCAGCCGACATACCATCAGGTCCAGTCAGTGACACCGCAGCCGACATACCATCAGGTCCAGTCAGTGACACCGCAGCCGACATACCATCAGGTCCAGTCAGTGACACCGCAGCCGACATACCATCAGGTCCAGTCAGTGACACCGTAGCCGACATACCATCAGGTCCAGTCAGTGACACCGCAGCCGACATACCATCAGGTCCAGTCAGTGACACCGCAGCCGACATACCATCAGGTCCAGTCAGTGACACCGCAGCCGACATACCATCAGGTCCAGTCAGTGACACCGCAGCCGACATACCATCAGGTCCAGTCAGTGACACCGCAGCCGACATACCATCAGGTCCAGTCAGTGACACCGCAGCCGACATACCATCAGGTCCAGTCAGTGACACCGCAGCCGACATACCATCAGGTCCAGTCAGTGACACCGCAGCCGACATACCATCAGGTCCAGTCAGTGACACCGCAGCCGACATACCATCAGGTCCAGTCAGTGACACCGCAGCCGACATACCATCAGGTCCAGTCAGTGACACCGCAGCCGACATACCATCAGGTCCAGTCAGTGACACCGCAGCCGACATACCATCAGGTCCAGTCAGTGACACCGCAGCCGACATACCATCAGGTCCAGTCAGTGACACCGCAGCCGACATACCATCAGGTCCAGTCAGTGACACCGCAGCCGACATACCATCAGGTCCAGTCAGTGACACCGCAGCCGACATACCATCAGGTCCAGTCAGTGACACCGCAGTCGACATACCATCAGGTCCAGTCAGTGACACCGCAGCCGACATACCATCAGGTCCAGTCAGTGACACCGCAGCCGACATACCATCAGGTCCAGTCAGTGACACCGCAGCCGACATACCATCAGGTCCAGTCAGTGACACCGCAGCCGACATACCATCAGGTCCAGTCAGTGACACCGCAGCCGACATACCATCAGGTCCAGTCAGTGACACCGCAGCCGACATACCATCAGGTCCAGTCAGTGACACCGCAGCCGACATACCATCAGGTCCAGTCAGTGACACCGCAGCCGACATACCATCAGGTCCAGTCAGTGACACCGCAGCCGACATACCATCAGGTCCAGTCAGTGACACCGCAGCCGACATACCATCAGGTCCAGTCAGTGACACCGCAGCCGACATACCATCAGGTCCAGTCAGTGACACCGCAGCCGACATACCATCAGGTCCAGTCAGTGACACCGTAGCCGACATACCATCAGGTCCAGTCAGTGACACCGCAGCCGACATACCATCAGGTCCAGTCAGTGACACCGCAGCCGACATACCATCAGGTCCAGTCAGTGACACCGCAGCCGACATACCATCAGGTCCAGTCAGTGACACCGCAGCCGACATACCATCAGGTCCAGTCAGTGACACCGCAGCCGACATACCATCAGGTCCAGTCAGTGACACCGCAGCCGACATACCATCAGGTCCAGTCAGTGACACCGCAGCCGACATACCATCAGGTCCAGTCAGTGACACCGCAGCCGACATACCATCAGGTCCAGTCAGTGACACCGCAGCCGACATACCATCAGGTCCAGTCAGTGACACCGCAGTCGACATACCATCAGGTCCAGTCAGTGACACCGCAGCCGACATACCATCAGGTCCAGTCAGTGACACCGCAGCCGACATACCATCAGGTCCAGTCAGTGACACCGCAGCCGACATACCATCAGGTTCAGTCAGTGACACCGCAGCCGACATACCATCAGGTTCAGTCAGTGACACCGCAGCCGACATACCATCAGGTCCAGTCAGTGACACCGCAGCCGACATACCATCAGGTCCAGTCAGTGACACCGCAGCCGACATACCATCAGGTCCAGTCAGTGACACCGCAGCCGACATACCATCAGGTCCAGTCAGTGACACCGCAGCCGACATACCATCAGGTTCAGTCAGTGACACTGCAGCCGACATACCATCAGGTCCAGTCAGTGACACCGCAGCCGACATACCATCAGGTTCAGTCAGTGACACCGCAGCCGACATACCATCAGGTTCAGTCAGTGACACCGCAGCCGACATACCATCAGGTCCAGTCAGTGACACCGCAGCCGACATACCATCAGGTTCAGTCAGTGACACCGCAGCCGACATACCATCAGGTCCAGTCAGTGACACCGCAGTCGACATACCATCAGATCCGTCAGATGTTTATCATTGACCGTTAAAGCGGGTTTGAAATGCATAGTTAGTAGGTAACTCCTGCATCATTGCATGTTAAAATGCTGCGCGTGGCGGGGGCATTTTTGCACACACATTTAAGATTTTCGAGATTATCGAGAAGAAAAAACGGTGGGGCTAAGCAACGCACTGACTTAACCTTTGTTGAGAAACATTCAGTGATTGTTAACAGTGATAAGATGCATTGAGTGTGCATCTTGGGTTTAGATAAGTAACTAAGGTCAGGTCAATATTTAGGTTTCTCCATTACCTCGCACCAATAGGTAGGCCCGATTAGAGGAATGGGCATTGGACATGTGGTGCTTCCGTTAAATCGGCTACTGGGCCTCGTAGTGACAAGCCATGAGCGACGTTCAAGGGTCTCTCAAAATCACGAAAAAGTGGCTCCCTCATTTTCAAGTCAGATAAAATTTAGATCATGGCGTGACTTGATGGTCTTGCTTTAAATGGCTTCTGTCTGAAATAGTTATTCATGACAAGTAAAGACAATAGGTATACATCAGATACAAGACATGCTAAGTAGTTTTTCAGAATTCGGCGAAGAGCAGTGTGCGCAAAACGACCCTCCCCCGCTACGAAGCAGATTTTAGGTTAACAATGTGAAATGAAACCGCGCCTCTTTTGGACGAGTGTATGTAATCTTAACTAAACCCTCTTAACCCTCGCCCGTATGTGTGTTCTACCCAAGGCTGCAGAGTCGGAGTCGGAGTCGGAGTCGCCAAAATCTTACCGACTCCGACTCCGGAGTCAGAGTTAACGCTGCATGGTTCAACGTCATGCACTGTACCTGTTTGATTGACGATATTGCGCTAGAAATTAGATTTTGTCGAAAAAAGCCATTTTGCTGTTTTGGACAAACCTTTTCAGCGAAAAAAGCAGAAGACGGGAAATGCCCCAGAACCTGCTTTTTAAACCTGCATGTTATTTTTAACGCATAGTTGCAACGCAATGCCTTGGAACGCACAAGGGCAAAATGTGGCAGAATGTGGGCCCGAGGACACGGTTCCTGGAAATTTGCTGACGGGTCCAACCGGGTCTTACCTAACATAAACCATACATCTTGCACACTACGCCTGGTTACAAAATATGAAGTGAATGGAAAGAAAACATTTGCTCATGTATGTTCCTTTCCACACTGTAACTCAAAAGCATTTCCAGTGGAAAAAGACTCTTTTACATAATGCAACTAATGTTCTACAAATGATTAGTATTAATTGACTTGGGGAGCGGGTCCTTTCAATAACGACGGTGACTAGGTTATAATTTTTGGCTGATATTATTAAAATGTGAACCAATTAGATCATATCGAAATGTTTCATTAAATCATGCTCTTATTAAGCATGAACCTTTCATACCTAAATACCTAATAAAATACCTTTTACCTAAATACCTAAAACAATACCTTTCATACCTAAAATACATGTAGGTATTTCGAGTACCTACATGTGAAGAAAATTAAATGCTATATATGATAACCCGCGCCCTGGTGGTGGGGGGGGGGGAGCTATTTTTGCCCCCCTCTCCCACCCCCCAGACTTTTCGATGTATCTCCAGAACCATTGCGCCGATCGTCACCAAACTTTCAGTACCCTCTCGGGCATCAATTTTACACATTGTGACCAAAAAATTTCAAAGGCTATGATATGTTGGCCGTAAATGACGTCAGAGTGACGTCAGTTCTGCCGTTTTCGACAAAAAAAAAAGGTTTCGCGGGAAGAGCTGTCAGGTTTTGAAGATAAAGAAAAGCATTTACGACATTAAAGGTGTAGAACCAGTATAACGCCTTTTGAGGCGACTAACGGAGCGAGCGAGAGGGTGGGCCTTGCACGTGCGAAATTGCGAGGGGGTACCTCCAACTGACTTGTGCACGGCACCCTACTAGCCGGTCTTTAGCGATGGGCCAAATTTGAGCACAATCGGCCCAGCCGTTCTCGAGATCTAGGAGCGGCACCATGCACGTGCGCACGTGCAAAATGGGTCCCAACTGAC